TTAGGAACTGTTTCTCCAGGATGTCTGTGAAGGCGCCAGCCCCACCGGCTCAGGACCTTGGCTTTCCTGGCTCCTGCCTCCCTGGCCCCTCCTTGGGCCCTTCTTTGAAAGACCCCCTTCCTCCCAAACCCCCATACTGGGCTGACTCCTTCCCAGAGCCACTTCACACTGGTGACAGCCTGCATGGCTATTCTCCCGTTCCCATGTGGCCTGGGCCCTCATCAGTCATGCATAGGGGGGACAACACTTGCAGCAGCACTGAGTCCCTTCCCGGGGTCTTCTGGGGACAGGGAGCAGTTTGGAATGCCAGTAGTTGGGCAAGCTCTTCCCTCAACCACTGGGCTCTTTTTCACCCTCTTACTGCCCGGCAGTTAGAAGCCCCAGTCTTTCCTACCTACCCACCTCTAGGGAAGAGAGAAAGCAGCTAACCATAACTTGTCCTTTGAAGGAATATTTTGAGAAGCTTGCCTTCTGTTATGGGTTGAATTGTGTCTCCCGCTCCAAGTTCACATGTTCACGTCCTAACCCCCAGGACCGCAGAATGTGACCTTATTTTGAGATAGGGTCATTGCAAATGTAATTAGTTAAGATGAGGTCATGTTGGAGGAAGGTGGGCCCCTAATCCAATATGCTGGTGTCCTTATGAAAAGGGGGAATTTGGACACAGACACACACACAGGGGGAATGCCACGTGAAGATGGAGGCAGAGACTGGGGTGATGGGTCTACAACCAAGCAGCACCAGAGACTGCCAGCATCCACCAGAAGGAACAACCCTGCCCACACCTGTATTTTGGGCTTCTAGCTTCCAGAACTGTGAGAGAATACATTTCTGTTGTGTAAGTTGCCCAGTGTGCGGTACTTGGTTATGGCAGCCCTAGCAAACCAATACACCTCCCCGACCAGCTTCTCACACTGCTGAAAAACTGCCCCCACCCCCGTGACATGATTCACGGAGTCCCTTGGAGAGACTTGAACCCATCCTCATTTCACAGATGAAGCAAGCTAGGTCCCAGAGGTCACATGACTCTGGACAACTCCCGACTGAGTCAGTGGCAGAGCTGCGTCTAGACCCAGGTCTCCTGATGCTTTGCCTTTCATGGCACAAAGACTTGGCTTTGCCTTCATAGAGCGTCTGTGTTAGTCAGCTTGGGCTGCCACAGGAAATGCCGTAGCCTCGGTGACTTAAACCGAAGAAGTTAACTTTCTCACAGTTCTGGAGGCTGGAAGTCTGGGATCAGGTGCCAGCGTGGTCGGGTTCTGGTGAGGACTCTCTTCCTGGCTTGTAGACGGTTGCCTTCTCGCCGTGTCCTTATGTGGCAGAGAGAAAGATCTCTCTTTCTTCCTCTTCTTATAAGGCCACCAATCCTATCTGATTGGAACCCTGTGTTCATGACCTCATTTAACCTTAATTACCTCCTAAAAGCCCAGTCTCCAAATACAGTCACATTGGGGGTTAGAGCTTCAACGTATGAATTGGGGGGGGGACATATTCAGTCCACAGCAGTGCCCGATATCAGGTGAGCACCCTGAGAATAGCCCACCAGTGGGTCTTAGCATCAGGTCAGCCTGAGAAGCTCTATGCTCCATGGCCCTGAGGGATAGCAGTTCTCATCTGTAATAATATGAACTGAGGGGGACCCTCGGATCATAATTTGGTCAGCTGTCTTAATGAACTTTCCAGCTGGAGACACAAAAGATACCACACCAAGTCTTTGAGTGTCATCTCCTAGCCACCTGCCCTTGGGTAGAAGCTGAATGGGAAAATGGCCTGAAGCCAGTAAGGAAGGTTGAAAATGGCCAGGCAGGGGCCCTGGTGACAGGAGGGAAGCAAGTCCCCAGGAGGCCCCAGTGGCCCTGCTCCTGGGGATGTTCCTTAGCCTGGGTATTCCCCCCAAACAGGCCAGGTCCAAAGGGAAAGGATGCAGGGGAGCAGGGGTGGAGGGAGGCGGTCTCCTCCTCCTGCTGGGCTTTCTGCTGTAACCCATGGCTTCCAAGGAGGACAGCATGCTCTCGAGGGTGGCTTTCCGAAGCTTTGCCAGGCCATCCTGTATTCCCCTCTTCCCAGGACACATGCACCTACAGCACACTGCAGACAAAACACCCGTCATGGAGGTGGGGCAGGGGGTCGGGGACCAGTGCTGCCGGGACGAGGGGGGCGCACACTCAAATACACACTTTCCTACCCTCTGCCCTCTCTTGCCCAGCAAACCTGGGGCCCTGGCTTCCCTCCTGCTCCTGGGTCTCCCTTTGAGGTAATAAGAGAAAGTCACTGATAAGAGGATGGGGTAAGTTGGGGGGTGGGGATGGGATGGGCAGTGAGCAGAGACCAGCATTTCCAGAATACTTGTCCCATAAACTCCTCCTCTTAAAAAAAGGGGTGCCATGGTCAAAAAAGTTTTTTAAAATGCTGCAAAAGATATTGCCTTTTTAGCCTCATTGCACATTCAGCATTTAAAAGGCTTGCAGCAAAGAAACCTGTGTAATATTTTTAACCTGGTATTTCTCAAACTTATTTGACCATTGAAACTTTTTTTCATGTCACATTTACTGTCCTAGAGCCCTGCGGGTGCAGGGGACAACAGCCACTGCCTGTTGCAGCTTACATGCATTCAGACTGGGAACCAGGGAAGGGGGAGGCATTTGTGTGCTCCTGACAAGTGGGCCCTTCTCTGCTCAGCCAGGTCCTCAGCCCTGGGCCAGCCTTAGGGGGGCCAAGAGCAAAGCAGCAGCAGCCCCCTCCCACCTCTGCCCCATGACCAATGCTCTGTGCAGCCCAGAACATTCCCTCTGCATCAGTACCTTGGCTCCTGGGGTCCCCGGCTCACCCTGTGTGGAAAAAAGAACTCAGGTGAAGAAATGAGAGAGAAAGAGAGAGACTGAGAGAGAGAGAGACGGCAAGCAGGAGGGAATGAGCAAAGGCACTCTGGTGGGGCCTGGGGTGTGCGATGTGGTGAAACATCTGGCCAGCCTGGGCTGTCCTCTGCTCAGGTGTCAGGCCCCAGGCCAAAGGAGGCCTACTGGGCTGCTGACCCTTAGAGACCCCTGTTCTTCCCCTAGGTGAGAGGCATGGCAGGTGTGAGCATAAGTGAGGTCCCCCAGGAGGAAGGAGAGGACGGAGCAGGCATTTGGTTTGGACATGGTGACCCCTGTAAGTGGACATTGAGCACTTGTGCTTTTGGGGTGTCCCCCCCCGATCTGCCTGGCAACTAAGTGGGTATTAGGGTGGGGCTTTAGGAGAAGGACTCCTGCTCGCCTCTCTGACACTTTGGCACCATGTAGCTGCTGAATTCCAGAATGTAAAGGAAAAAGTTGGGTTCCCTTTGTATACTGGCAGGCCAGTGAGACCTTTGGTTGAGGCTGGTAAACCTCTGCCACTTATTTGCAAGGCTTAGTTAAACATCTGTGGTTCAAGGTTGTGCATCCGGCATAGACATTACTTTCAGAGAAATGTTCCCAAATCCTGTCTGCCCCCTCACTGGTTCAGTAGCCATTCCCCTAAGCCCCTGAAGCCCCAGCCGGGTCCTCCTCCCACCTTCTCTCCCACCTGCCCCTGATGTGTTAAGTCACAACGTCCAACTGACCTTCATTCCAGCCATGGCGATCCCAGGAGCTCCCTGGTGGAGAGAAAAAAAAGGCATGGAGACTTGCTGCAGATGGGAGCAGCATGGAGGATGTGGCAGCCTCCCCTCCCCATGGTGACATGGGCAGGAAGACCACTCACTCTGCAGAGGGGCGCTGAGCTCGGTGCTACTGGGAGGCACAGTGGGGACTATGGGCCACTAGAGTGGACTAAAGGAGGTGTCCCTGGGGTAGAAGGGGGGCTTCACTAGAATATGAGAGGAAGAGGAGGGGATGGGAAGGGTGGGGTAGGGGAGGAAAGCAGATGACACGACACGAGGGCTGCTTTCCCTGCGTGCAGTCGCCCCGTGCATGTGAGTGGGTTACCCTCACAGGTAGCTCTCTGCACCTCTGCCCTCATGCACTGGACAGCAGCTGGGAGTGAACCCCATTTCCACAGCAGCCAAAACCACCAATTGATAGGCCGCCCAAAGTGCCACTTAGTGAATCCCAAGTGGAGATGATTTGGGGGGGGTCCCTACTCCACACGTGGGTCTCAGGACTGCGGCCAGAGCTGAGGTTACCTGAGAAGGCTTTTTAGGACCCAGAGATACCCAGGAGGGGGCCCAGCCACATCAGGAGGGTGCTGATGAGAGACTGCTCCTGGGCCCAGCATGAGCATCCTGCCTAAAGGACAGGCTGGTGGGGCAGTGAAGAGGGCCAGGGGAGCATGTGTGACCCTGTCCTCGCAGCAGAGTGTGAGAAGAGGAGGCTTGAGGACCTGGATTCCAGGGAGTCCTCAGAGCTTGGGAGAGAGGGATGGGCGCTGGGGGATGTGGGAGGCACAGATACCTTGGCTCCATGCTTGCCTGGCATCCCTGGCATGCCCCGTTCTCCCTGTAGAAGGTACGAGAGAAGCGATGAGAAGGGGACCAGACTCAGGGCCCTGTGGCCTGCAATGACATGAGTGAAGATGGCTGGCTGTGGGGCTTGGGACAGCCACCCAGCCCACGACGAGCTCTGCCATCGCCAGCAGGCATGCAGGCCACTCCCCTCAGTGATGTGAACTTGCAGGAAGGCCTGATCACAGATCACAGAGCAGGAAAAGTCCTCCAGAGAGAGAGACCCACGTGGTAGAACCGGGTCCAGCGAGAGGAGGTGACTTGCTCAAGACCTGCGGTCACTCAGTGGCTAGGTAGGGCTGTGGGTAGCAGCAGCGCGCCTGGCCACTTACCACTGCACACCTTCCCTCCAATCCTGCCCAGCACTGCTTGCCCCGTTAGTACTCCAGGAGGTTCGGGTGACTTGCTCAAGACCTGCGGTCACTCAGTGGCTAGGTAGGGCTGTGGGTAGCAGCAGCGTGCCTGGCCACTTACCACTGCACACCTTCCCTCCAATCCTGCCCAGCACTGCTTGCCCCGTTAGTACTCCAGGAGGTTCGTAGGATGGTACCTGCGGTTGTGCAGACGATGTCCCTCCTCTCTTCATCTGAGCTTCCTTTCCCTCCCACGTCCCTGGGTCTAACTCTTCCAGGGGCATGTGGGCCTTGGCTTGGTGCCTGCCCACTTCTCTGCACCCACCACTGAGCCTCCCCGTCCAGGGGCACCAGCTGAGCTGGGGCCTCTCTGGGATTTGTGGGGCTTGCTCTACCAGCTCAGCACAGCCCCATCTCTATCGTCAACCTCTTTACCACCCTGTGGAATGCCAAACTCTTGGGAGGGGAGGGGGCAAGCTGGGGAGGAAGGACATACCACAAGGAGGTGAGGTTGGAGATGACAGCCAGTGACACTTGGGGGCCAAGAGTAGGTAAGTCAGGACTACAACCTGCCGTACCAGGGAGGACGGAGGGCAGCTCCTGTCTCTGTAAGTTGAACCCTGTACCAAGTCTCAGCACACAGCCCCAGCCAGGCCCAGGATGTTATCCAGCAGCAGGTGACAGCTGCCAGTCTGCTGCAGCTCCCTGTGTGTGACAGCCAGTGCCGTGCACAGGCGACACGGAGCCCTGACAGACCCTCCTCAGGCTGAGTGCTGTATGCAGGCCAGGCTGCAATCCCACAGGCATAAAGGCCAAGGGGGGACCTGGGCCCACCTGGCCCCCACCTCCTCAGCTGTCCGCTCTCTCGCTTCTCTGCCATCTTACAGGAAGTCGTGGTCCACCCTTTTCACCACCGTAAGAGCTACTTCCACCCTCTTCCTCCATGATCAGACCCCTACACTGGTGTCCAAATGAGCTTGTCAATACACAGGCTGGATAGTGAGACTTGCCTGCTTCAAAATATGCACTGCCTGGTACTGACTGTAGAAAATGGGCCAGTCTCCAAGTAATGCATTCTGAGCCCGCTTGCTTCCTGGCCTCATCACCTGACATCCTGGTGGATATCAACTACTGCTTCCCTGAAAAGAACACCCATTTTCATGATTCTATGCCTTTCTGCTATCTCCTCAACCCCAAATCTTATCTATTGTTCGGGGCCCTGGTCAATGAAGTGTTCAGTGCTCTTATGGGTGTCCTGGGGCTGAGCTGCGCCCTCACACTGACCCCTATGGGCCACACACCTGAGGGCTCCCCAGCAGAGAGGGGCTTTGCCCTGCCTCCAGCCTGCAGAGGCTGCCTGATGGAAGCAGGGCCCTGGCCATCTCCTCTATGAAGCCGTTTGCTTTTCCCTATAAGCCGGAGCCAGTTCCTCAATACAGCAGGGAACAATTTGCCTCTGTGACCCACGGGCACAAATTCCTGTCTGCCTGTGATGGCTTTACCTTCCTCTTGGGCCAAGTTCCTGATTTCTGCAAAAGGCCCAGAATCTTTATTTCTAAATGCCAGAGCCCTCCTCATCCTGACCCCACCAGTGACCCCCTTGCCACAGGCAGGAATGCAGAGGTGAACTCAGAAAGTGACCATAGCAAACAAGCCAGTGCCCCAGGTCTGCCCCAGCTGTTAAATCCCCTTTTGTGGGATAGAGCAGAGACAGAAACAGCCATTTACTGAACCTGCCTTGGGTGAGAGTGTCACATCCTTCCTCTGTTTGATCTCCAAGAATCCCCTCCCCTCCAGTGTGGGAGTGGATGTTATTCCCGTTTCACAGGTAAGCAAACTATGGCTCAGAGGGGCCGGGTTCGATTGCCAAGGTCATGCACAGTAGGGCTTTGAACACAAGTTTGTTGTCTGCCAAGGCCCAGGTGCTCATTTCCCTTATCCAACCCCAACACCAGACGGACTGATGTTCCACCTGCTTCCATCAGGCAGCTGCTACAGCTGGAAGCAGGGCAAAGCCCCTCTCTGCCGGGGGCCCTCAGGTCTGTGACCCATCAAGTGAAGGGGTCAATGTGAAAGGCCACACGGCCAAGGGCACCCACAGAAAAGCTCAGGGCAGGGCCCTGCCTGTGCACACAGGTCTGCTCTGTGGCCAGCAGAGGGCGCGACAGGACCTTGTCTGAAGTCTGGCCACTGCAGCTCAAAGCCCCCACTCAGGAGCACCAGAAGAGGGCCCCATCACTCTTTTTTTTGGAGGACCACAATCCCCTGCTCGCATTCCAACCAAACCAACCAGGTTGGCTCAGCAAGGAAGCTCCCAGAGAGCATGCCTGATGGGGGGTGCAGGGGGCGGTCAGCTTGGGAGTCCCTGACTGGTCAGAGGCCTCCCATTTCGCTCTCTCTTCCTCTTCACCTTTTCTTCAGCTTTTCCCCAGTGCCTCTGCCCTCCTTTTCCACCTCCACTTTGGAGAGCTCGGCTGGAGTCTGTGTGTTCATGGATAAGCCGCTTTCCCTCTCTGGGCCCGGGATCCTTGTTTGCAAAGTGAGATTAGTCCAGACACCTCCTGCCCACCCCTGCTCCTCGGTCTTTCTCCACCCATCCTAGCCTGGTCTTTGCTTCCTGCGCAGCCCTTAGGAGAGAGAGAGGCCAAAGCTGGAGAGGTGACACACAGTTCTGCTGGCAGCAAAGAAAAAGGCTCCGTAGGGGAGGGGGCCTTAGCTTTGGGTACAAATGCGGCTCTAGGAGGGGGCTCAGCAGATCTCAGCCCTCCCCTCCCCCTACCCAGAGGGACAGCTGCAGGATGCTGTTGCAGGGAAGGGAGGTGGGGTCTGCTTCACGCTCATCTCCGGACTTCTGTCTCCAATCTCCGAAGAAACCACCGTGCAGAGCTAAACCCGGGGAGTGATGGTTTCCAGGCTAATTGGTGCTGTCTTTAGCTGCTGTTCGTTTGAGCATGTAGACACAACCAAGCACTCAAGGGAAATCGGGCCCCTTGGGGCCTCCTTGGGAGGCGGCCCTCTTGGTTAGGGTGGATGACCTTTGCCCCTTCCCTCTCCTCTGGGTCAAGTCTCTTAATTTTGCACATGACCCAGGCTCCCTTGATGCCCATGTCAGAGCCTCTCTGCCTCCCTCCCCTGTGCGGGGCAGGAAGCGGGGGCGACGGCTGACCCCGCCTGCAGCTCCCGCCTGCAGCTCGCTCTGATCTCATTAGTCTCACTCCTCAGGGCCTGTCTCTATTGGCTTGCCCCTGCCTGGCCTCTGAAACGGAAAGCTTGGCTTCTCCTAAATCAGAAACCATTGCCTCCTGGATGGTGGGTGAGGTGAAGAGAGGGTGGCAGTCATTATCAAGGACTCCAGGGTGGGGGGCTGGTGGTGGCAATTGCTAAAGGAGGACGGTGACACACTTCTGATCATAGAGCTGTTCCTTGTGGCATGTCTTTGTGAAATCCTCTCTAGAGACTCCTTCTTTTCTAATTCCCCTCTTAAGGTTTTCTGTTTAAAAGCTTTGTTAGGAATTGTGCTCAATTTACATCCACTCACTCATTACTGTCTTTGTCTTTGGGGTGGGGGGGCTGGCTCTGATAGTCTGATTTATCTCCTCTACCTCTGCCTTCCCCTGTCTTCCCAGTGAGGACACTAGAAGCTCCCCCGGGGGGGCTCTCAGCCACCTGATCTGGGCTATCCTATGTCTGGGGAAGTGGGTGCTCTGAGGGTTATAAAGGGTCTCGGCCCATTTGCACCAAGTGTGATGTCAGAAACTGCAACTCCCAGGCCAGCACCCAGGCCACCTCTCTGGGAGGCCTCTTTAACCTCAGTGCCAAGGACCAATGCACAGAAGGGGTGGACTGCAGTGATTGTGGCTGAGAAGCCTCTGGGGGAGTACAGAGGGACAGGCAGGGGGTTGCCCCAAATGACCTGAAGGCCTGTCCCAGCCCTGACTGTGAGGCTGCCACTCAGACTTCTCAGCTGGGCCCTCCCTGCACCTGAGCACATTATAGCATCAATAGGTCCTCTATTCTGGCCCAGCCTCCAGGTGGGAGGACCCATCCTTCACAGAGATGACAGGATGGAGGCACGCTCTAGCCGGCCAAGCTCCGGTCCTGAGGGAATGGCCTCTTAATTGGTGATTTACTGTTTGTTGAACAAGCTGGGCAGGGACTTGGCAAGAAGACAGTCTGGAAGGAGGCAGGGGGCTTCAAGGTCAGCTCCCCAGCCAAATAGAGTTCAGGACAGGGAAGCACAGGAGTCAAATGGACCTCCCTAAAGTGAGGTCTGGGTGGGGAGGCCCTGGGCCGAATGCAACTTGGCACACACATTCGTTGTTCTCTGCAGGGAAGGAGGAAGGACTGTCTGAGGTTGGGGGGTGTAGAGGGCTGGGGGGAGGCCAGCGGGCGACTCAGGCCTCGTGCCTGGACAGGGGCCCTTTCCTGGGCTGGAAAAGCCGGGTGAGGAAGGCTAATGCCTTTCTTTCCCATAAAAAGTTCCCAGCCCACCCTTCCGGGAAAAAGGCAGCTAAGTTCCTGCTTCCCTGCCCCAGCCAGCCTCCAGACCACAGAGGACTGGAACCACGGAAATCCCAGGTCCTCCGGTAATTAGGGCCGGCAGGAAGTGATCCAGGGAATTACCGGGGTCGGGCGCCCCATT